CTGCGCCTGCCACGAAATCTGCACATGGAGGTTCACAAAGTGCTGCACCTGCCACGAAATCTGCGCATGGAGGTTCACAAAGTCCCAGAGAGCCGAGAGTGCTGTAATATAGGCCTTCCTGCAACAAAGCTTATCTTGGCCAAAAGCAAAGGATAAGATAAGCCTTTGGGTTATATAAGCCTTGGAAGGCTTATCTTGCCTGCAAAAAGCTTGTTGGAGGAAATCATATACGTATACATAGATGTATGCCTGATCTTGTGTACATAAAACGCAGTCATTGCACTTTGTCAGGCAGATTGATGCAATGGTTGTTAAAGGAATCTTCAAGTTTTTTTGCTGGGAGTCATTTGTTTTGGTTTTCAAAAGGGTCAGGCACACCACTGGCCATGTGCGCACATGGGCAATAGACTCTAATGCGATGGTAGTAATAATGTTGCAAGATGTTTTGCGCTTGTTTGTCGTGTTGCAAGATGTGTTGTGATGTTTTCCCGCAACCTTTGCGCGAGTGGGCAGGTATGGACCGGGCGCTTTACCCAGAGACATCCCACAAACACTGGTTCTGTTGTTAACTTCATTTGCGCTCAAAACCAGCACTCTCCGTGATCATGTGTTGACCCATTTTGTTTGCGGGCGTGCCAGACAAAGGTTTCAGCAAGTGCATTTTTTCCGCGGGTCATGATGACCACACGCAAGTGCGATGGAGCTGCTCGAGCTAGAGCTGCGTGGTCCCAGTCGCAGACAGAGGTGCCCACCACTCCGCTACCACTTTGCAGTGCAAAGCATGCAGTCTTGGTAGCGAAACCACGGTTCACTTTGCTTTAGTAGTGGCAAGTGTTTCGTTGAATTGTGCATCATTCAGTTCGATGCGCCTGAAGCCTTTTGGGTGTGAGGGCTTGACAACTTAGCAGCCATGGCTTTGAATGTGGTCAAGACTGTAAAGAAGAAACAGGGCCGCTCTAAAGCGAAACCAGCTAAGAAAGCGGCCGTGCCTGGAGCTCACAAACACTTTCGGGTCCGTCCATCCGACTCATGGCACCAGAACCTTTCGAGCCTGTTACTTGTTTCCACTTAAGAACTTGTGCAAGTGCAGTCATGTGTTTGTTGAGTGTGGGGGAACGTTGATGTTAAGTGTCTCGTTTGCGCGTGTGCGTCTGTGCGTCATTCAGGTTCCACCTTTTGGTGATGGCAGGGCTCCCCTATAGCCTGCTATGCCTTTGCAGCGAGGTCTTTGAAAGCATGACTGCTCCCACCATCGCTACTTGGACATTGTCACATTGGGGTCATTGGGAGGTGCTCTTGTCTGGGTTCACCCATGTTCACCCAAACATTCCAATCTCTGGTTCCCTCCTATATCTAGTTCCACCGCCTCGTCATTCATCCATGAAGAGTTTAGGTTCCAAAAGGGTCCCTCTTTTTCTTGTGATCTCAGTTCCAACATTGAAGAGGGTAAGTTTGAAAAAAGATCAACCAAACAGTTTTGGAGTTGCCGGCTTAATGTTCATGCAGGCAAATCCAAAAGATTCAATCCGCCAAGCACTCAACCGAGACTCAACCAGTCAATGTGAACTGGGTTTCACACGATGAAGTCCCACCCAATATCTGCGGTTCATTTTTGCTCAGGCTTTGACTTCTGTGGAGCTCTTCGCGGGCTGCAAGTCCATCACAAATGGATTCAGGACAGTGAGAAAATGCAACATGGGAGAGTCTGGGTCCTATAGGAGGAAATTGTCCATGCAGAAAACAAAACACTACAAAACCTTGTGCCCTATACATATTATTGATCACAAGCGCTTTCAACCCACTGCCAGGAAGCTGGGATTTGCCTCTGCCAGCTTTGAAGTGAACGACCGGCCAGTGTTTGAAGACTTCATGGGAGGTCTTGGCTTCGCCTACGCGGTTGGTCTTGCAGCCCGCCTATGCTTCGCTGTGACTCGCCGCCGACTAGCTAGTGAGACAAGCTTTGTGAGACAAAGGCGCACGCAATGCACACTCGATCATGCGCAATCCAAAAGCTTTAGGCTAAGCCTGGCTTCCTATGGGCTGCGCCTGTTTGTTCAACATGGGTCTGGATCAATCGGCAGGGGGCTCAGGGTGGCAAGCGATTGGTCAGAAAGTGAAATCTTGATAGATGAACACTCAAGCCCTTTCGAAAGTCTAACCTTGTCCAATTCCAAAAGTCTCAACTCAACCCTGCGCGCATCTTCCAAGAAATCTAGAGATCGAAGTGGTGGTCCTTGAACCTTGAACCCTTCCTTTCCATGGTGCATTGCGTGCTCAACGCTGATATCCACACCGCCCTTCAGGTCCACGAGTCAACGCTCTCGAGAACAACCTTTGGGGCGCGTGGCAATTCCATGCGTCGCTGAAGCGATGCTTGGTGGAGGGATTAGGTGAGGGCTCAGGTGGAGGGTTTAAACTGCGTGGATAGAATTTCCTATGCGTCATGAATACAAGACAATTTGGTTCACAGTTCAACAGGGTTCCTTTAGCTAGTCGACCTCAGCCATGTGCGACCGCGAGCGTAGCCCATCGAGATCGGACAGTTCCGAATCGTTGACAGTTCGGGACCCGACTGAAGCGTGGAACTGGCAGTTCGTTCACCCAGACAGTGGAACCGAGTTGTTTGTGCAGGCACTGCAGTGCCTTGGGGTTGACATGGCCAAAGCCATCCCCAAGAGGGTCCAAGGAGAGTGCATCAAGGCACTTAATGAGGAACCTACTGCTGAGCTGATCTCTGGTTCTTTCAGGCAGCTGGTGAAGGAGCGTTTGTTGCTACTCAGCAAAGACTAATGAAAAGAAATCTGGTAAGCCAAACTGGAAAGACCCAATATGTTGAGGGGAACCTTCAATCCTCGAGCGTTTGTTTCTGAGGCTCAAAAACTATTGGTGCATCCATTCGGTGTTGCAGATGGAGGTCTTTCAGTCCCGCCGTCCAAGCCAAGCAGAACTTATGATTGTCTTAGACAGTCTCAATGACTACTACAAGGCCCAGCCATAAGAGTCATATGTGTTAACTTTCCAGCTGTCACTTGCCCACTCTGCTCCGCTATTTCCCCTGGCCGGCCTCCAGGGCTTGGCGATTCGGGCTATCGGTGACTTTGTCCTTGGGCCGCAAGCAGCCCAAAATCTGCAAACACCCATTGATAGTGGGGGTTCATGCGTCTTCAATAAATGTGTCGCCAAATGAAAGTTCCTGTCTTGCAGGACATGGACTTCATGATGAAGGCCAACATCAAGAAGTGCCAGATTCTGTGGTCTAGTTTGAGAAGGAGTGGTCAACTGCATTTGCAGTATTTGTATATGGGCAGTGCACTGGCTCACTGAAAAATATGGAACCAATAAAATATAGATAGGGAATCTATATCCGATATATACATACTTATACATAGTGTATTGTACATGTCTGGCAACCATGTCTCTCATGTCTGGCAGGAAGTGGCAGAACTCGAAGCATGCTTCAAGGTCTGTTTGGGTCCAGCGACTCAAGGACATGATGAAGAATGCTGAGTATCCGACTGCTATGGCACCTATGGAGGTTGAGCCTACCAAGCCGTGCGCTGGGCGGGATGTCGAGCCCGGTGATGGCGATAAAGATTTGAGTGCTTCTTCAGACGGTATCCCTGACGGGTGGGCCAATCACCAGGTGGTGGAGTACGATGGTTCTTCTTCACCCCTGTCTAACCCAGAGCCAGAGCGCGATCCTGATTCCGTAGTTTGCCCAGTTGGCCATCAGAATAAACAAATTTGTTTCCTTGTTGAGTATCTCTAGACTCCAATAGCTAGAGGCTGCACCCTTCAGTGTCCTAGGCCAGCGACTGCGGCAGTGAAGTTTGGAACGCAGTTGCTGTTTTGAACCATCATGGTCATGAACGCGATGAAGTGGTCGACCGTGCACCCTTGGCAGTCTTTTCTGGAGAGGCCCTTCGGGTTCAAAGCCTTCTAAACTTAGCAGTGCACCTCCAGACTCCAAAACAATAGATCTTTCTTGAATGTGCCTCCAAACCTGTATTCCCTCCTGGCCTTCTTCCAGGACCCACCGGGGTATGAAGCAGCAGTGGTTGCTTTGGATCCTGAGCCCGTCGACACATCGAAGGGCGGCCATAGGAATCAGGAGGAGGGAGAAGTAGGTAACAAGCGAAAGAAGTCTACTGGAAGTACCAAATCTAAGAAGAAGCAAAAACGTGAGGAACCGGAACCTACAGTAGAAGATGAAACCGAAATTTTGGAGTCTTTTGCGCAGAGCTATCGCGCCATCATCCGGGCCTTGCCGTGTGCACTGTGGCCATCTTCAACACGTCATGGTGAGCACTCATACACAGTGTTTCTTACCTCGAATATTTTCTGAACCCTTTTGGATTGCCATGTCCATGAGTTTGTTCACTTGTTCAAAGTGGGGGTGTCATGGTTCAGTTGGATCCCAGGCACAAGGGCGCTGCGCGGGTGGAAGTCTTACTTCGACAGCAGGCCCTCAAGGCTAAGTCTGATGTTGATGGTAACAAGATTTCAGGTGAGGCGGCCAAGTCGAAGCTTGGACAGGTAAGATGCTAGTCAAGGTTGCATCTAAACACACCAAGTCTACTAACTCTACTATGACCCCTGCGTCCCAAACCATATGATCTAGATAGCCTGCGATCCAAGGATTTCCTTTATCAAGGACATTGACCAAGCGTGGGCCAAGGTGTGCGAGCACATGGGATTGCCGCACCCATCGGCCGGCGCCAGCTCAGCCAACTAAGGCTTTTAGGGGGAACGAGGCATGCAGCTATAGTGGTTGTCACCATTGTAGGCTGCCCGCCTCTGACTTATTTAATATTTTGGGGATCAAGTGCCATCCGCCAAGCTCCCAGCTGTCGTGGCGAGATGCCAGCAGGAAGGACTAGCTAGCCTTCGGAGTGGTGGAAAAAGGACCAGCTCGTCTCACCATTTAGTTGACACTATGTCAAATTGATGTTGGGACTTGCCCCAAAAAAGACACAACCATAAGCTTATGGTAAGGGGTATGGTTTGGGTATGACAACCTGATTCAATCTGACTTGTCTTCTTCCTCTATTTGGATGGGGATGTCTGTTACATATAGTGAGCCTCCGTCTAGCTGGGCCGAGGAATTGCATGGTATCTCGATGCTGTATCATCTGCCTGATACTTGGACTTCTACGAATCCCTTTCGTCATAGAACAGCCGGCGTCGTCTCTCATGCAGTACCACCCATGTTTCCAGTATCTATGCTCCAAGATCGATGTGTTTAGAGCGCCTAGCCCGCAATAGAAGAAAACGAGCATATGCCTGCTTATTCATTCCATCTTCTATCAACCCTATGGTGCTTTCCCAGGTCTTTGTATGGATTGGCAGCTATGGTGGTGGAAGCTATCTGCTTGCAACAAGGTTAACCCGTGTTGGGTGGTGCCATGTTTGGGTGAAGTGGTGTCCTAGGTCCAAAGCCGTCCTTTTTCTACAGCAACTACAGATTCATCACCTCGTTGTACCTGCCTTTGCCTGACAAGCCTGGGTGGGACGCAGATATGTCGATAAAGTGGCTCGGCATACCATAAAACCGATAAAACACATCTGAATTCCTCTAGTGGGTTCACTCAATCCCTTTACGCTCAAGTCCCAGGGCTCACAACTTCAGTTCACACGGGCTCAGGTACATGGATACATCAGGCATTTGCAGAGTGAGTGGTGGGAAGGACTTGAAGCATTCTCAGCACTACCCAGCATTGCTGGGTGAGGCTGTGGCTGAGATGTACGCCAGTCATATCGATGAGATCCACAAGAATGTCAGTGAGAGGAAGCGGCTTGACTCGAGAAGTTTGGCTGGCCTTGCAGCTATCTTTACTTACAACAATTCAATATGAAGTTAACTTGGAACTGTGCAAAACTTGAGCTGGTGAATTGAGCCAACCTCCTGTGTATCCCAGGAAAGCTTTGCTGTCGTTAAAAGAGCCCACGAAGCCTATCAAGGACTCCGTGGGCATACATGGTCGGGATCTGATCTCAGGTTGAACCAAAAAGCCAAGAAATTTCTCGGGTTGGACCCAAGAAACCAAGAAAATTCTCGGGTTGGACCAAAAGCCAAGAAAATTCTCGGGTTGGACCCAAGAAACCAAGAAAATTCTCGGGTTGGACCAAAAGCCAAGAAAATTCTCGGGTTGGGGACCCAAGAAACCAAGAAATTTCTCGGGTTGGGCCCAAGAAACCAAGAAAATTCTCGGGTTGGGGACCCAAGAAACCAAGAAATTTCTCGGGTTGGGCCCAATGAACAAGAAATTTCTCGGGTTGGACCAAAAGTCTCGGGTTGGGGACCCAAGAAACCAAGAAACCCAGAAAGGATCCATATAGATCAAATAGATATATCCTTCGATCTACGTACACACACATATATATACTTGCCAATTATATATATACACTTAATTACACTCTTTCCACACAATCTCCGGCCCAAGCAATCGCCTTGCAGGATCGTGCATGGTCTGAGAAGGCGAACCTGCGGCAGGTCATTGCAGCATTACGTGCGTAGGGTGCCGATGGGTCATGGGATTGACGCCCAAATCCTGAGAACTTAAGGGAGCAGGTCATTTTAAGGGATCTTGCTAGGATTTGGAGAAAAAGAATTCTAGATTTGGAGGATTTGGATGATTTTTCATAAAATTTTCTAGATTTTTGCACCACTTGAAAAAACCGAGAAACCGAGAAAAAGCCGAGAAACAGCCGAGAAAAAGCGAGAATTTTCTTGGGTTTGAGACTGGTCAACTTTTTTTCAGAATTTGGTGGACTCTGTCAATTCTTTTCCAAAGAAAACCGAGAAATCTTGAAGTTTAAGCAAAAAAACGAGAAATCTTGGACTCTCAACAGTCAACTGGCCATGGCACCCTAGCATGCATTTCATAATTGGTAATTGAGCACAGAGGATCATAGTCTTTGTGCGCTATAGCTGTTACCATGCAGGGTTGAGAGCGTTCATGCCAAAAGAATCTTTGTGCATACAATGGTGTGCGCAAATACGCCAAGAGTGTCAAAGCCACAGCATGACCTTATGCTGGATAGTCTCACATCGCTGCCACATCTACAAGGGTTCCAAGTCTTTTTGTTAGCTAGTGAAGTGTGTCAGCGCGATGGCAAGCCAAGCGCCTCGGTATCGCCACAGATCCAAGTCTGCCCCCAGGGGGCGGAGTCCAGACCCCAAGACTTTGAAGAAGGAGGTGAAGAGTAGAAAGGAGAAGGGGAAACCAGCCACAGCTAGGGATCCATATGTGACTCCACCCACAAAGCGAACTTCGCGGTCAGTCGAGTCTAGTGCTGAGTCTAAAATAAAGGCATTCAGGCCAACCAAGCTGACCTTTGGTCGCAATTCCGTGCACGAGATTGAAGCGCAGCATCCTCGTGGGAAGAAGCCTGGTGAGATGGCGCTTTGTGAAGCTGATGATATCCTGAATGCTTTGAAGGACCCCACCACCCCACCACAAAAGATTACCACACCTCAGCCTTGCAGGACAAAAGCCTGTGTCGCCAAGACCTGAAGAACCAAGCTCTGAAGAGGAAGACCAAGAGAGCGATGAGACACCGAGCCTGGTGAAGGCCCGAAAGAAATGGTGGCGCAAGTATGAATGCCCTGGTATGTTTCCAAAGGCACCTGGTATGCCTAGACATGTCAGAGACGCCATCAAGACAAGAACACTTAGCAAACGAGCAGTCCTAGCAATGCGAGATTGGTGGATCAGATACCGCTCAACATGCCAGGAAAAGACAAAGGGAGATAAGAAGAAAGGTGATAAGACACCACGAAAGCAGGATGAAGGGAAGACAGCGGAGAAGGGAATGAAGAAGAAGAGCACAGAAGAAAGGGAGAAGAGCGCAGCGAAGGAAGAAGGTCAAACAGAAGAGACGGCAAAGCGGAAGCGAAAGGTTGAAGAGCAAGAGAAGGTAGAGAAGAAGGAGAAGAAAGAGAAGAAAGAAGAGGAGGCAGAACAGAAATCAAGGCAGAAGGGAGCAAAGGCAGATACAAGAAGCAGCAAGAAGAAAGCAGAAGAAGAGGAGACATCGGCATCTGAAAGTGGCAGCGAACCGGACACTTCATCAGAGCTCAGTGTCTCAGTTTCTGATTCCAGCAGCGATGAGTCCGGGGGAGAGTCTGAGCCAGAAATGCCAATTTCCATATTGAAGAACAAAGACGCAAAGGGTAAGGAGGAAGAAGATGAAGAGGATGAAGATGAAGAAGATGATGAGGATGAAGCTGAGGAGGGAAGTGATGGTGAGGAAACTGGACCTGGCGATAGTGAAAGTGAAGAGGAAACTGAGGAAGAACCGGAGGAGACCCCGGAGGAGAAAAGCACAGGAAAGAAGAGAAAACGAGAAGACGAAGCAAGCAGCAGCAAGAAGAGTTCGGAGAAGGCAGAAGAGAAGACAGAGGCAAAAGGCAAGAAGGGTTTGGAGAAGGCAGAGGCTCCACTGAAGAACGACAAAAGTGACAAGAAGAAGAATCGAAAGCACAAAAAGGAGAAGAAGGAGAAGAAGAAGGCTGAAAAGGAAGAAGATAAGGAAGAAAAGGAAGAGGGTGGCGAAGAAGAAGATGGTGCAAAGAACTCTTCAACCCATCGATGTGAATGGCAGGCGTTTAAGCGCTGGATCAACAACAAGAAGAAGTGTCCAGCCAAGATTATTGCAGCTTGCAAAAACGAGGTGGGGTGCATGCATACTGGGGTGTATGTGTCAGGGTGCATGTATGTGTATCCACATATGATTCCTCAGCAGCGTCGCAATCTGCAGGAGACCCGAAACCAGATTTTCAACGACTATGTCGAATTGGGGCGCAAGAACACTTCGCAGGTCGAGGCACGGTTCAACTTGCGGCTTGAGGAGTGTCAGCGCACACAAGTGCGCTATGGTTTTCGCAACGATGTTTGGATCACAAAGCACCACGGAGAAAAAAAAGCACCCAAGATCATGCAGCGAAAGCGTGAGATGGGTCTGACTCTTGGTTTTAACTAAGCTTGTTTCTGAACACCCAACTCGACCCTCGCAACCCAAGCCTCTTCAATCTTCCTGGATCTTCCATGGAACCTTCATCGATCTTGTCCTGCGGGTAGTGCCGGCCCAGGACCATACAGGACCCTGAGTTTCCGGACGATGAGGGGGAATTGCTTTATTGGGTCTTGGTGGAATTCAATTTGGATGACATCAAAGAATTGAAGCGGATCACCCAGTTGGAGCTTCAGGGATCCTTAGACCCAGAAGGTGTGAAAGCTTTTGTGGAAGCTGCTCGCCTTCTAGCTATTCTTCTAGCTATTCTCAAAGCACAGCTTCCAAATGTCACAACAATGAAGAACAAAACAAGTTTGCTTGGATCTGAGGCTGGTGGTTGCCTAGATGGTTCGCAGCACCTTTCACTCAAAGATATGGCTGGCAAGAGTGGCATGAAATCGTTGGAAAATGCTACTATCGGTATGAAGGGGAAGGTGAAGAAACCGAAAGGTCCAAAGAGAACCAATGGAAACACAGAAGACAAGGAACAGGACCCCAATGCCAAAAAGGCCTGGAAAAAGAGTATCTCCCTCACCCTCCCAAAGAGTATCTCCCTCCCGACTTCAGGTGACTGCGGATACACCCATCGAGAAAGCCCAAGCTCTGGTCAACCGGATCCTGAAGGACATCAACAGCTGCAGGTAACTCGTCTTACAAACCATTATATAGATTCGTTGGACCCGCAGCCTTCCAATCAATCGCTTTATGTGGCATATTTGTGTAAGCATCTTTAATTGTTCTCCTCTGAGGGAATTTGCCTTTAAATTGCGACCCTTGGCTATGAGCACAGACTTGATCGATCAATTGTCAGCGTGCGCTGTGAAGCTTGGTCGCCAAGCAGAGTTGCTGCAGCAAAAGATCAAATCAAAGCAGAACAAGAACCGACACTATGTTGATATCATTCGCGAGGCGCTTACAGCGAAAGTCTTTGGTTCACTTCACATGCGCTAGAGTGGTTCCCATGTGTCCATACATAGGTTGATACGCATAAAACTATATGAACGCCTGCAGGTGGATGAGATCACGGCTATGGCCAAAGGCCGTCTGGAACTTGCTAAGGCACTGATCAGGGCCTCAGAGAAGTCCAGCAAGCCCAAGAAAAAGGCTGCTGAAAATCCGGGTGATGCAGCGACTGCAAAGCAGCCATCTGCGTAGTCTCACTGAATGGCATTATGCATTTTGTGTTGCTCACACGGCATGGCTTGGAGTTATGGTTTCAAGCTTTAGCGCCTTGAGAGCGGGGTTTGAGAATGGACGTGACCGCTGTGTGACCTTTGCGTTCTCAAGTTTACAAGATCCTTAAACAGGTTTTGGCTACCGTTTACTGAAAAAAAGCTGGAAGTTCTTTCATGTTCTAGTGGTCACTTCCAGTGGTAGAGAGCCATTCCTTTGGACACGGGTGAGCCTGTACGAAGCGAAGGGAAACAAAGCTCAGAGTATTCCAAGAAAGAAAAACAGGTTGAATATAAACCAAAGGGTTTCCCTCGTCCACGCAGGTCCCGCTCCAGATCTCCTGTTCGGTCAAGGCGGTCATCTGATCCAAGAAGCGCCTGTGCGGCAGGTTTGTAGCAATCGTGGTTCTACTCTTGCGGACTATGGGTTGGGAATCAGGGGAATGATATCTCAGGTGCATGGGATGGGGGTTGACATCGATGCCATGATATCTCAGGTGCTTTGGATGGGGCATGCCACTCATCACTTCGGATTCTGCGGAAGATCTGTTCCGGAGCTACCTCTGCAGCTGATGGCTGCCGGGATGCAAGAGATTTGATCCTAGATGGTGTATCTTGCCCTTTAGCAGCTATCATGAACGAGTGGCATGAAGGCGGTCACGAGGAGAGATCATTTCAATCGTGGCTAGCATTCATGAGAATAGATTTTTACTTTCCCTTTGGGTGAGCGTCTTTCCTTTTCCCTTGCCTCTTTAGACATCGAAAGTTCTCTTGAGGTGGTGCCGCTCTACTTGTACCATTCATCTTGGCGAAGTTCAGATCCCGCTGGTGGTGACTAATGTTGAGGGCAAAGAAATCGAGATGGACTGCCCAACCGCTATCCTCTGGCCCTGGGATGTTTTCAGCTTTCTGTGGAATAGTGGCAACTTTGACAAGTGGGCTGCTGACAATAGCAACCCATCTGATAGAGCCCAAGAATATTGGAGGCGGTGCATGCACCTCGATTTCTTTTCCCAGCTGGGGCTGCGAGAAGATCAATTCCGGACATGCATCCCATTGATGTTTCATTGCGATGGTGTGAAAATATACAAACAACAAAAGGCATGGATCTACTCATGTGCATCTGCAACCCGCAAGGGGCCCAGCATTAAAACAAAGGCTGTTTTCCTTCTCTTCAGAGAGAACATGTTGTTGAAGGGCAAGACCCATGACGCTATTGGTCTTTTGGTATCATACATTTGCAACACATTGATGACTGGGTGCTTTCCAAAAAAAGACCCCAGTGGCATGGCTTGGCGTCCTGGAACGAAAGAGCATGAGCGGGCCAATACCCCCTTTTGTGGGGGTTGGACTTTTGCCTTTGCCGGGTTCAAGGGCGACTGGGAAGCAAGAGTAATTGTTCACAAATTACAAAGAAGCTACCGGACTACTAACATATGCGAACATTGTTTGGCATGTTATGGTAGTGATTTCACCTTTGGTGACTTCCGCCCAACAGCTCATTGCCACCTCCTTCGTTTCAGCCACGAAGACTACTTGCGGATGGCCGGCTCGAAGAAGTCCGCCTGGGCTTGATGTTTTACCAACATCTGACTGCGTTGGACCGCCGCCGCACAGATAATCGCCGATGCTACAAACTGACACCAAAATTCCACTCGCTGTATGAGTTGACGGTGGGGATCGATGAAACAGGCCGCAATCCGCGGTAGCTATCTTTCATGAAGCTCAACACTTTTATATTTTTGGTTTGTTCCCACAAAACATGATTTCTTCCCATATGGAGATCCTCTGAGGTTTGATCATTGTTACCAAGATGAAGATTTGATGCGACATCTAGGAGCCATATGTTCCCGCACCCACCCCGCGACTATGGATGTTGTAGCGCTTGGTCGCTACAAAGCACTGCTCGAACACTGCACAGACTTCTGATCTGAGGGTCCGAGCCATGAAAAGGGAGGCATTCGAAACGGGTCCGGCGGGTAAAAACACAAACATGAAAAGTCTTCTACACTATAGTTCCTGCGTTACACACCCTAGTGTTCGGGGTTCCTGCCCAGTGAAGTTCTGGGTTCTGTACACTTCCTAGTGTTCTACAACCTGGGTTCTTAAGTTCCAAATGTCCTGGTTGAGCTAGGTATTAGATGCAGCTAGCCTTGAGAAGCGAGCGTGGGTCGGCGAATCCAAAACAAAACGCCAGCCAAAAAACATGTGCCCCCAACACACACACACATATATATATATATATTATATATACTATATATGTACATAAACACGCACGGCTCAAGATTCCCTCGACATGAGAGGGGAAACATAATTTGTGCGCGCAAACTTTTTGCATGCAAAGCATGTTTCTACTCGGTGCAATGGTGCATCAACACAATCACGCTGCATATGCTTGCTCGGTGCAATGGTGCATCAACACAATCACGCTGCATGCTTGGTACTAATTCTTGTCTAGAAACTCAAAGGCTTACATTTTAAGCCTTCATGTTCCCACGGTTGGGAAGGCTTATAATACAACACTCTTGGCTCTCTGGGGTGTTGTGCCTGCCACGAAATCTGCACACGCAGGTTCACAAAGTGCTGTGCCTGCCAAGAAATCTGCACTTCAAGAAACAAGTGAAAACTCTAATCCCAATGGAGGGACGATTCCGACCATGCCCGAGAATGACCGGAGACCGTCTCGCAACCGTCGTTCCGCAGACCTTGACTTGCCAGCTTCGGAGCCACCGGTTCCATTGAAAAATACAGCATTTCGTGCGTTCGCTATCTCTCCACAACGCATTTTGTATTGTGCCTGCCACGAAATCTGCACATGGAGGTGCAAAAAGTGCTGTGCCTGCCACGAAATCTGCACATGGAGGTTCACAAAGTGCTGCACCTGCCACGAAATCTGCACATGGAGGTTCACAAAGTGCTGTGCCTGCCAGGAAATCTGCACATGGAGGTTCACAAAGTGCTGCACCTGCCACGAAATCTGCACATGGAGGTTCACAAAGTGCTGTGCCTGCCACGACATCTGCACATGGAGGTTCACAAAGTGCTGCACCTCCCACGAAATCTGCACATGGAGGTTCACAAAGTGCTGCACTTGCCACGAAATCTGCACATGGAGGTTCACAAAGTGTTGTGCCTGCCACGAAATCTGCACATGCAGGTTCACAAAGTGCTGTGCCTGCCACGAAATCTGCACTTCAAGAAACAAGTGAAAACTCTAATCCCAATGGAGGGACGATTCCGACCATGCCCGAGAATGACCCGAGACCGTCTCGCAACCGTCGTTCCGCAGACCTTGACTTGCCAGCTTCGGAGCCACCGGCTCCATTGAAAAATGCAGCATTTCGTGCGTTGGCTATCTCTCCACAACGCACTTTGTATTGCGCCTGCCACGAAATCTGCACATGGAGGTGCACAAAGGTGCTTGCCACGAAATCTGCACATGGAGGTTCACAAAGTGCTGCACCAGCCACGAAATCTGCACATGGAGGTTCGCAAAGTGCTGTGCCTGCCACGAAATCTGCACATGGAGGTTCACAAAGTGCTGCACCTGCCAGGAAATCTGCACCTGGAGCTGGAGTTGCCTGGAGCTTGAGCTGTTGAAACCAGAGCTAACTGGAGCTAGAGCTATTGAAACTAAGAGCTTATTGGAGCTAGAGCTATTGACACCAGAGCCAACTGGAGGTAGAGCAAACTGGATGATAAGTAGTGTATGATGAGTGGTGTATGATGAGTGGTGTATGATGAGTGTGATGAGTGGTGTACGATGAGTGGTGTATGATGAGTGGTGTATGGTGACTGGTGTACGATGAGTGGTGTATGATGAGTGGTGTATGATGACTGGTGTATGATGAGTTGTGTATGATGAGTGATGTATGATGAGTGGTTGTATGATGACTGGTGTATGATGAGTGGTGTATGATGAGTGGTGTATGATGAGTGGTGTATGATGAGCGGTGTATGATGAGTGGTGTGTGATGAGTCGTGTATGATGAGTGGTGTATGATGAGTAGTGTATGATGAGTGGTGTATGATGAG